CCCCGATGGGGCCACCGTCACCCCGCCGTAAGCTGGGGGCCGGGTGCCAGACACCCCGCACTCCCCGTCCGGCAGCACAAGCGAGGCCGGCGGGCGAGCTCTGCCCACAGCTGCCCCCAGCCCTGCCCCCCTGCCCCTCCGGCGGGCGGGGCACAGTCCCCACCTCGCTGTAGATGTTCTTCTGGAAGTCCAGCTCCTCCTTCAGGGTCTGCAGCCTGTTCTCCGCGTCCACCCGCCGCAGCATCTCGTCCTGGAGCTGTTTCTTGGCCTCACCCAGGGCGGCCTCGAGCTGGGAGGGGGGAGGCAGAGGTGAGGGACAGGCCCGGGGGACGGACAGCCTCCGCCGTCACGGACAGAACGGGGTCCCCTTACCCGCCGGAACTGCCCGCTAAGAAACGAGAGGAGGCACCACACACAGCAAGCGCTCCACAGGACGCACGTCCAGAGTACGCTGGAACCACAGTGCGCCTGGGGTGGTAGAGGGGGTCTGGGAAGGCCTCCGGGGGGCTGAGGCCTGCAGGACAGGCTCTTGGGACGTGCCCAGGGCAGAGGGGGACACTGCCTGAGCACAGGAGCAAAGGCCCGTGTAAAGGCCTGGAGGCACAGAGGCACAGCGAGCTTCAGGGTCCTCGGTTCTGCCACAGCCGGCAGGGCTCAGGGGTGGCGACACGGACAGCGGCTGCGTGGGAAGGCAGGGGCTGGACCGTGAAGAGATGCCCCCTTCTCTGCCACAGAAAGATCTCTGAAGTTTGAGTGGCAGAGAACCCCTCCCAGATTCTGGTCTCCGAGAGGCCCACTGGCCAGCGCAGGGGCCGGCAGGAGGCCTGGAGGAGAAGGCTCCAGCCCAGCCTTAGTGCTCGACCCACTGGCGTCTCCCGTGTGCTGGGCACACTCTGGTGGCGGGGCCTGGGAGAGGGCCGAGCCCAGAGAGCCTGGCCCCTGACCCTGGTCCTGGCCCTGCTCTGAGCAGTGAGGCGGCAGAACCGGGAGCCAGTCGGCTTCTTTGATTCTGTTCTGAGCTTGCGATGTGAGAGACGAGAGCCCAGGACAGACAGCAACGTGCCTTGGAAGGAAAGACAGCCATATACACGCCAAGCATCAAGAACACCCGTCCCATCTGTGATAGACCATCCGCTGCCGAGTTCAGGCTGGCTCGGTCTTCCAGAGACCTCCGCTCTCTTACGGGACAGCCACACCAGGAGGGATCCAGGGCCAGGCACGGTTTGTTGCAGACTTACGTGCAAACGTCTGCGTACTACTTTATTTATTAACATAAGCTAGATGCCCAACATGAGGCTCTGACTCGTGACTCCGAGATCAAGAGTCGCACGTTCTCCCAGCCGGGCGCCCCAGCTGTGGACGACCGTAAACCCGCTGTGCCAGATGCACGGGCAGGACGCAGCGAGGTGGGGGCGGGTGAAATGGCACCAGGGCGGGCAGATGGCTGTGATGCCCTGTCCGTGTAACGGGACAGACAGGTGCCTCGGAGAGCAACTGGGGTGAAAGGGTGGGTAGGGCGAGCCTGCACTTCTCTGGGGGGAGGAGGGGTCATGGCGGGCCCTGGCGGGCGGCCTCACCTTGGCCACCTGGCCCCGCAGGTCATGGAGCTCGCCCTCCAGGGTGCGCTTCTCGCTGAGCGCGGTGCTCAGGGCGGCCTCCTTGGAGTTGAGCAGGGCCTCCAGGTCCTTGAGGCGGGCCTGGGCGGCCATCAAGTCGCCCTCCTTCTTGGTATTGCTAAAGAAGCAAAGGAAGAGTAGCTTTAGAATCCCTAGAGAGAGCCAGGTCCCCCACGGAGAGACAGAAGCCACCTCCTAGGCGGCCAGCCCAGCCGGGGCCTGGCTTGGCTGTCCCTCCAACTGCCAGGAGAGGGCATCCTTGCTTGTGGTTTGTTAGCATCTGCCCGCCTCTGGGACTGGACTCCCACTTCCCCCAAGGTCCCCAAAACCCCCTTCCTGCTTCTCCACCCTTCCCATGACTCAGTGCTCAGGAACGTGCCCGGGGCCAAGGGGAAAGCGCAATCCCGTGAGATCAATGCTTTCCCTCCCTCTCCTCCCATTCCTTCCCAAAGACACAGGGCCACCTTTGTCTCCTGCCCCTTCCCACACAGGGCCTTAACCTCCTCCTCCCTGACTCCACCTCCCTCCCATTGGGCCAGGCCTCCCTCCCTGCAGGGACCCAGACAACCAGGCTCCCAGTGTTGGGGTCCATGCATCCCTATAGCTTCTCAGTTTGGGCCCCCACGGTACTGGTCACCTCTCCTGGCCCCTTTTACACACGGAGACTGTGCAGAGGGAAAGTCCGGTTAAAAGTCAGGGATAAGGACAACTAGGCTCAGTACTGGCCCTTCCCTTTCCAGACCCAGGCTGAGTCCCCTGGCCGGGGCCAAGCACGGGGGTCCAGCTGCCTTCCCCCCAGGCCTTACAGAGCTTGAGAGAACACTAAACCCTACCCTTCGGCCACAAGCCTCAGCATCTGGCTCCAGATGTGGCCCCTGAGCCTCCAGGCCCATCTGGGCTCCAGCCCTGAAAGTGGGTGAAGCTTTAGCCAAATAAACACATAAACGGGGGATGCCTCTGCCATTTCCTTCCGTTTTCTGGGCCCCAAAGATACGGAACTGGAGAAGGAGAGGGGTCCAAACTTCTGGGGAACCCAAGAACTTTCCAGATGTTATTATCACCTCACCAGCATCTGGTGAGAGAAAGCAGGAGACCCAGGGAGTGCAGGGAAAGACCCAGGGGGCCTGGCCCCGGCTGCCATCCGTAACTCCTGTGTTGTAAGCGTGGGCCCACGTGGCAGAAGGGAAAAAAAGGAACCAAATGTGGGCAGGAGGGGACATTTCTGTCCTGGGAAGAAGCAAAGTGACCCTGCCAGCATTTTTCGCCTCTGCAAAAGCCCTAAGCTCCAAGGGGCCCAGCGGTGACGGTGACACGGGTGATGGTGACAAGGTGCAGTGGCAGAGGTCAGCCTTG